TGGGGATATCTTCGCATGCAATCTCACGGGCAGCCAGCACATCTGGTCTAGTGCATGTGTAGATGCGATGATGCGGGGTATCAACCTGCCCACACTCACAACGACCACAACTAAGATACCCCGCATCTTGGGCCCTCTTCTCGGTCCAATTGGCATCACACGCTGCACACTTTAACAAAAACTGCTGCTGTCGAGTAAAACTTTTCACGCGGGGAACCATCTTGTCCCTGACCAGGTCCAGAGTGGCCCTAAAACCAGGAGGGAAACCGAGTTTTTGGCCCAAGGCCAGCTCAGCCTGCCTCTGGAGGCCTGCTTCCAGCAACTCCTGCAGCATTCGAGGTGACACTAAACTGATATCGATGGGATTCTGATGGTGATCAATCCAAGCACACGCCTCGGGAGCCGACCAACCTGCCCTCTTGAGACACAAGACAACTCTACTGAGCGGGCCTCGACTATTCTTCCAGTCACCGACGCTGCTCGCATTAGCCTGTTGCCACAACGACACGAGGGCAGGGAAACTTAAAAGGGCTCTCTCAGGCGCTACCTTGGAGATCCAAACCATCCTACTCCATTGCAAGACGGGGCCCAAAGCAGCACGGACGTCCCATTCTCCAAAGAGGACCAATTTAGCACTCGCTGAAGTGCCACCGTGCATGGGCGCCTGTCGCCTCGCCTGGGTTCTGCGTATTGACGCCAATTCAGCATCCGAAAACCCCGAGACCTCAGAACCATACGACGACGCAGGAGCCAGGCCAGTACGCAGGACCCCCTGGAGGACTTGTTTTGGCTTGCGTTTAATAAACTTGCTAAACTTACTGATCTTTCTGGCACGCTTATGCATAGCCTTCAACCTACTCCTAAGTTTGGGTCTCATGCCTTTCGCAGCACGTCGCAAACCAGCGGCCGAATCGACTCCGAGATAAGTGACTGCCTTTCTTACAACTTTGCATTGCATCTGGAGACTTGCTGCTACATCTTTAGCCAAGTCCTCCGATGACGCAACTACAGCAATCTTATCATTCAGTGTTGCACCAATTTTACGACTGGCAATCTGGAAATCTTTTCCCGCCGCCACCGCTAGATCCAGAGCTCGCTGCCTGTCTGCAGCAGAGATCTGAATGGCTGAGTCATCAATGTACGACATGAAACTTACGAGCGATGGCTGACGAGAAACAAACCAGTCGAATTCACGAACCGCGTGTATTTTTATGCACAAGTCATTGAAGCAATCACCTGCTGGAAGACCGAACTGTGCATGCATGCAATCAAGAGAGTGATGCTGACGAAGCCTCAATATTCTTGGGGCTTGCCAAACATTAAAAACTAACTTCAGCACAGGAGACGGCACTCGAAACGCTATGCATTTATCGCGCAACTGAGTGAGATCAATCGTCTCATAATATTTACTGTAGTCGGCAACAACAAGAACCGAAAAACGATGGCTGACCACATCGGCTTCGCTCCTGGCCGCTAACACCCAAGCACAATCCACAGCACTCCTCCCCCGAGTAGCCCCCCAGTACCCGCGGTCCAAAGATCCCAGAACATCATTGAGCATGGGGCGGCGGAGCCTTTGCCATATGCGATACATGCCAGAGTACAGTACGATTAGCCTGTAACCGCTGGTCGGTTTCGGCAGCATTGGCATTAAAACCCAGAGCAATTGTCGGGGCAGGAGACCTATCGCTTCGCAGCACTGCCAAAGTTTTGCAAGCACCATGAGGCCTCGATCATCTAGCAGCTGAAAATGCCGAGGGTGCAGTTGATCGAGAGCTCTTGCTGTACTCTCAGGAAAGGACCGAATCACTTTACGCATGTCCTCAACGCTCGCAACTGGAAAAGACTCTCTATCAGGTATCCATGCCTGAGGGGGAATCGCTCCAGCTTTCCAGAGCGCCTTATACATACGAGCTTCATGCTGCACAACGCTATGGGGGTCAGCCGTGGGGCCTAAAGGATCATGGACGACCGTGGGGGGACACACACTCCGAACCTTGGTGATCCTATGTAGGCCCCTGGCTCCCCCTGAAGACGCAGTTTCACACCAATCATTCCAATCTGCATCGGCTTCGCGATTAGCAGTTCTCTGGGCAGCTTCAACATCTTCAGTAATCTGCTCAAGAAACTCAAGAACAGCATCCTTATCAAGTTGCCCATCATGAAACAACTCACGTGCATGCTTACATGAGTTGTCTAGCCTAGCGCTGAGACCAAAGCCTGGATAGTCGTCAGCAGCAAAGGCGGCAACCTCATTAGCATATAGGACCTGCTGCTCGACATCCTCGTCGTGAGACGACATCTGGAGAAGGGTCTGCACAGCATTGCGCAACCAAGACCACCCCTCAGCGAGCAGAACCTTCTCCGAGATGTTGGGGACTGGGTAGTCCACGCTAACCCACCTCGGTGCTATATCTCTACCGAAGCCTGCAAAGTTCATGGCATCTGTGCCCGTGCACTCAGCTACGTACCTGGCAGTTCTTTTGGCGAGGTGGCCCCAGGCAGCACTTAAAACTCCAAAAACCACCCCAGGATCAGCCTGCTCGTCATGAGCCAACTCCGAACAATGATCGACGAGACCCTCGACGAACGACCAACTAGGGGGAGCAGGCTGAGGTCCAATGGGGGCCGTGACAGGAAGCTTGGGTGCGGCGGTGTATACCAGATGCTGGATACCGTGCCCGTCACTCGCAAGCTCCAAGATTACTGGTCGATGTGGACGCACTGTCCACTTCTTGTCAACGCTCACTGCCTTAAACGCTCGCATGCACGGATCATTGGGTCCGAAAAAATCGATGACAGAAGATCCCGTCCCACCTCTACACGTGTAGTTCGATGGGGAGACGAGGGTAGCACTGGCAAGAGCACTGAAGCCGCAAGCTTCAACAGCACTAGGTGTCATGTTCCAATCCCCCCCCGACTAAACAAGGACCCTCCACCCCGCTGAAACGCTTGCCAACTGCAGCTAAATACTTGGCATTCAGAGTGGTCGCGCCGATACTCGGCACTAGGTAGAGGTTGATGGCATGCAACGGCGGCCATCCTGGCAGGTCCAGTACCACATGAAGCACACGATGCTGAACCACCTGTTCATGGTGTCCAGGGGGAACACGAACTCCACATTGACTGCGAACGAAGATGGCGACTCCAGCTGTCGGTAGGACTCCAGCGGAGGGAAGAGCAGGCAGTGCCACCATCTGCCATCCTCGTCCACTGATCCACGTCTGCAGCGACTCGAGCTCGCTCTCCAGGTAGCCCGTCGCCTGTACCATGACAACCATAGCACAAGAACGCTGAAGTCGCTTTTTCAGTGTCCGTTTACCACCATTGGCATTGAATGACTCCAACCTGTGAGACGGCGCCATCAGCATAGCGGGGGCTGCAGGAACCACACTCTTCGGTCGCAAACCAGTCACACGTGGTATCATCCTGCCCAGCTTCTTGTGACGGTCCATGCAAGGGTCTGCAGGGACCGACTCTGCCGAGGCATCATTGGGGCTAGGAGCTGCACTTTTGCCTCTTGACCTGCATCTCGGTGATCTTCGCCTGGAAGTCTTCGAAGTTGTCTGCGCCCCAGAGCTCCTGCAAACTGTTGTCATCGAGCTCTGAGTAGTTGCGCTTGTCGGCGGCGGTGTCACCAGTGGAAGCTGCAGGCATCTCGGCGTCAGGGGGGCTCGCATCCGCAGCACCTCCAGAAGCGCTTGCAGCTGAAGCCCCAACACTGCCATCAGCAGGGCCAACCACACGAATATTCTTCTGGATCTCCTCCCACGCTGCGCTCTTGAAGAATGCCTCGACACCCTCGTACTTGGAGTACATCTGGTCGAGGTTGTCGATCTCAATCTTGATGCCTGCTGAGGGTGCCTTCGCCCCACCAGACTCGGCAGCCAGTAGAGCAGATGTACGAGCAACTTCGTTAACCAACTCTGCCACTTCAACACGCTTGGTCTCGAGCTTCGTCTTGCGCTCCTCAATCGACAGACGCAACTCTTCAAACTGCTTTTCTTTCTCTTCCAACTCTTTTGCTTGTCTGGCCACCGCTTGTCGTGCACGCTGCAACTCATTGGTGGCCCTCCGATGCGCCGTGGTTGGATTCCGCAGCTCTTTGATATTACCACGTAGTACTTCCAACTTTGCCTTGATACTTGATCGCAACTCATCAAACTCATCGCCTGAAGGGACCTTTTCGAGCGATTCCTCCAACTCATTAGCCTGCACAACCAACCGACCTCTCTTCGCATCGTCGGACCCAGGGTCAGCCTGTTGCGCAGCTTCAGCAGCTTCACGATCACGAGAAACTTGATCTTTGTACCAAGGTGCTCGCTTAGATTTACCCTCAGGCTTGTCAGACTTATCAGGCAATTCTCCTCGTCCAAGCGCTTTGACCAACTCATCCAGTTGCGCCTGTACACGTAGGAGCCGACCCGATGCATCTTTGCCTTGACCTTTTCCTTTACCACGCCCACCTCCACTTCCCGACTCGGGCTTGGCGGCGAGCTGCTTCTTGTTCGCCTCTTGGGCGCGACTGCGGATATGGGCGGGCGCCATGTTGCCACATCTGCAGCGAATACGGCTGGCCCAGTTGTGAGCAGCTCCGCACCGCCCACAAGCCCACTCAGGACGACGAGGACCCAGTAGGACGTCATCGTCATTGGCCATGGAGCGCTCCCGCGGGAGCAGAAGGGGGCTGCCAGCAGCTGCTGCCTGCTGGCGGGGCCTCCCGCGGGAGCTGAAGGCCAGCAGCGGTGCCTGCTGGCAAGACTCGAACAACAAGGCCCGCGAACGCGGTGCCGCGCTGAGTTCTCGCGTTCGCAACCCCCTGAATCTCTCGAGGGGGCAGCACGGCTGGAGGAGGAGGAGGAGGAGGAGGAGGAGGAGGAGGAGGAGGAGGAGGAGGAGGAGGAGGAGGGGGAGGGAGGATGGGGAGGAGGAGGGAGGAGGAGGGAGGAGGAGGGAGGAGGAGGGAGGAGGAGGAGGAGGGAGGGAGGAGGAGAGGTGATTCACTCACCTTGAGCGTGTGCCGACGCAGTGCTGCTCGAGCCGGCGGCTGCGTCGCTGCGCGGGGAGTGCCGAGGCTTCGCCCGGTGCCCGTCCATGGCCGCCTCAGTGCATGGTGCCGCCGCACGGCTCGCGGCACAGCTGGCGGCACAGGCGCTGCACCACGCCGCCTGCACCACAGACTCGCTTGCACCACGCCGCCTTGCACCACCGCTTGCACCACGCCGCTTGCACCAGAGCTGGCGGCGTAGGCGTTGCACCACGCCGCTCGCGCCACAAGCCTTCTGCCACAGACTCGGTGCGTGCTCCGCGTAGATAGACTCGACGAGGACACGATTTTGGGGTACAGTCGACCCGTATAATCAGGATGCGCGACGAGGACGCAAACGCCTTGGACGCCCGTTTTGAAGCTTTGCGGGCGGGGCGCGGCAAACGAAGGTGGCAAAGGATGGACCGTGGAGGCAAGGATGCAAGGGTGACCGGGGTTTCTTAGTAAGCGTGGGGGGGTCCACCCCCCCGACGGGGGTCAACCTCGCCTCGTCGTCGCGCCGCGACGGGGGTCGGAGCGCCTTCGGCGCGCGATGGCTACCCGCGACGGGTGTCGATGTGGGGCTGTCGGCGGGGGTGACGCCACCCCGACGCTTATTAAGAAACACAAAGTAGACGTCACCACATAGCTTATAACATCTACGTATGTTCTATCAGACCTGCACCACACGTTTTGCGCCACGTAGACGGCACAGCATAGCATAATGCACCGCACAGCTGCCACCACATTACTGTCACGACATAGCTTACACCACGTAGCTTTCACTGCGTAGCTTGCAACACGTATCTTACGCCACACAACTTGGACCACCTAGCTTGCACCACATGGCTTGCACCGCATAGCTTGCACCACATAGCTTAAAACGCATAGCATCCTCCACATAGCTTAGTAATGCATCCCACCAGCCATCTGGGCGTAGGTGGTCTAGAGCGGTGTCTCTTCCAACCCTTCCCCCTTCCCCTTCTGGGAGGGGTTTACCCCTCCCCCACCCCCTCCCCTGGACCTGGAGGGTGGGGGGGGTCGCGAGGCGTTGGAGCGTCCAAGATGGCCCAAGATGGCTCTAGGAGGGCCTTAGAGAACCCAAGATGACCTCCAAGATGGCTCAAGATATCCCGAGATGGCTCAATATGGCTCCTAAAATGCTCCCAAAAGCCCCAAGACCGCTCCAAGACGGCTCCGAGTGGCCACGGAGGCTTCCCAGGAGGCCGCCAAGAGGCCACAATCCTCCAACGACCTAAGGCAAATCGGTGACGTTTGCTTTCTCGCCTTTACCGAAGCCTCAAAACAGCTCTAAGGGGGCCCCTGAGAGCACCAAGACTGGCCCAAGAAAACCCCAAGACGGCCCCAAGAGCGCCCAAGAGCGCTCCAAGAGCGCCCCAAGAGGGGCCCAAGAGGCGATTTGTGGGGCTCCCGAGGGGGGATCGTAATTGGAGCTTCCATCTTTTTTTGATCGATCTCCTCCAAGATGGCCCCAAGAGCGCTCCATAGACTCGCAAAGAGCGCTCCAAGAGGGCTCCAAGAGGCGCCCAGGAGGCCCCGAGAGGCGCCCAAGAGGCCTCCAAGAGGCTCCCACGATACCCCCAAGAGGCCCCCAGAGGCTCCCCGAGGCACCTGAGGCGCTCCCAGAGGCCCCCCAGGACCGCCAAGAGGCCCCCAAGATGCTCCAAGAGGCCTCCAGCAAGCTTCCAAGAAACATCCGCGGATACTTCGAAAAGCAACTCGCCTGGGCATCGCTTCCGGGTGGGCTGGTGGGGATACTTTTTTGGTCGCGGCCACGAGCGAAGAGCACACGCGGCGAAAGCGAAAGCAAATGTCCGGGGCAGCGACCAAGGCTGATTAGCTACAAGACGCGCCGCTAGCCGGCCGGCCCACTCACCAACAGCCGCGGGGCTGTGCGGGAAGCTGACGGCAGGGGGCATCCTGGGAAGCTCGGGCACGTGCAGTCTGACAAAATGCCGAGAAATTCGGTGCATGCCGTGAGGCATAACCCACACAGGCGACATGACGTGCACAGGTGCCGACGTGTCCTTCATACTGAGTGGGGGCAGGCGCGAAGACCGATGGGCGAGTCGCCAGTGGTGCGCCAGGCCTAAGCCGTCCCAACGACGTGTGCTGGCTGGGGGTGCGGAGCTGCCGAGGAACGTCGCAAACCTGCCAGAAGAGGGGGATGAGTCCAGGGTGCTGTTGCGACTGCAGAAGGCTAAGCCACTCCGGCGCGATCACAGTACCCAGAAGGCCATCATTCAGTGCCCGAGGAAGGCCCGGACGACCGTGGGCCGGCCCCGTCAACAACGGCACAGCGCCGACGCCAGATGGACTATAGGAGAAAGCCAGGCAGGCGTGGTGAGCATCGCCAGCGAGGCAGGGGGATCCAGGGGGGTGCTGCACTGGAGGCACGGCAGCTGCCGCCTGATGTACGCCGAAGGCCACCGTGGGACGGCCTTATCCTCCGAGTCCGCCATTCCCCGCAGGGTACCAGGGGCTCCGTCGAATCCGTCATTCAACGCGAGCGTCCAGGGTCGCCGCTAACTGCCGCTGAGGGAGAGGTAAAGTTACCGCTGTCGGCGGGGGTACTGGGCGGCCGTACCTGCGAAGGCTGAACTACACGGAGCTGGCTGTACCTCCAGGGGCCGTGTGTGGCGTGTGGCCAAGCTCGTGGGAAAACCATTGCTAGCAAGGAGGGCGACCTGGGTGAAGCTGCGCTGTCGCAGCCGCGTGGAGCCGGAGGCCACCGTGGGCCGACCTTGTCCGCGCGTCCGCCCTTCCCCGCGGAAGTCCAGGGTCGCCGTCAATCCATCACCACGTGGGCCTCCAGGGTCGCAGCTAACCGCCGCTGAAAGTGAGGAAATGTACCACGGACAGCGGGGGTCCAGGGCGGCCCTGGGGAGAGGGGGCGAAGCCATCGATGCCAGTCGGTACGCCTGGCGAAGCCCCGCCAGTAGAAGGCCCGGAGGGGAAAGGGGGGGGGAGACGCGACCGACCACTCCCTCGGGGGGCCACCGAGGGGGCGCCCGGTGAGAGAAGCGCAAGGAAGCGTGCTCCGAAGGCCAAGGGCGGGGGACACCCACCCGGCCCGAGAGGGACCCGAGGGGAGAGGCGAGGAAGACGCACCTCAACGCCCCTCGAAGGGGCCCCAGGTCTGCCCGTCCAAGGGACACGGCCGCCATTCTCGAGAATCCTCCGGGGTGGCAGCTAACCGCCGCTGAAGTGCAAATAGTAACGAATGGTAGGTTCCTCCAGGGTCGCAGCTAACCGCCGCTGATGTTCGGGCGCCTGCGGTGTGACAAAACTGAGACCTGGCTAGGCCGAGCACGCGGCCAGGCGACAGCTTCGGGATGCAAGAGTACCCTGAGTCCCAGTGGGAGGTCCCGTGCCCGTAGTCTCTGCTATTCCCCGCATGGATCCAGGGTCGCGGCGGTCTCGTGCCAGTAGTCCCAGCAGCTCCCCGTGTGGATCCAGGGTCGTGGCGAACGCCGCCGCTCTTGTAGACAGCACCGGGATGCAAGAGAACCCTGAGCCCCCGTGCCGTGGGAGGTCACGTGCCCGCAGTCTCTGCTACTCCCCGCAGCCGCCCTGGGTTGAGTGAAGACGGAGCGTGCACGGGGGGTGGCGGCAGACGGCCCATGGCCGACAGCACCGGAATGCAAGAGTACCTTGAGCTCCCGCGGGAGGCCTCGTGCCCATGGACTCTGCTGCTCCCCGCGTGGACCTGGCCAGGGAACACGGCCGCCGTTTCCCGAGGGGCATCCAGGGTCGCAGCTAACCGCCGCTGTGACGTCGGGCCTCACCTTCGCCTCCCACATCTCGCTCAGCAGCGCCAGCACCCGCTGCCACTGCTCGCCCTTCTCGCACGCGCTGATCCCAGCATTGTAGCTGATGGCGTCTAGCTCCAGCTTCACCTCCCGCATCTCGCTGAGCATCACCAGAGTCCGTTGCCACAGCTCGCCCTTCTCGGAAGCGCTGATGCCAGAGTTGTGTCTATCTACTGCGAACACACAAAGCAAATTCTCAAGCGATGCGACAGGCTAACATTGCGAATCTGAAATTTTGGCGAACGCCTATTGGCTCGACTCTCACATCTTGCTGAGCAGTGCTGAAACCCGCTGTCACTGCTCGCCCTCCTTGCCCCGGGGCTCCGCAGGTGGAGATGGTGCCACTGATGTCGGCATATCTGGCCATACGCAAATCTCAACACCCAGTGACTCAAAGCAGCGACGTACCTCTTCATTGATATCTTCTGGCAAATCAAGGAAGAGCTTCGTCGGAACCGGTGGTGGGCGCTCTCGGACGGCCCAACTGATAAAGAACAGCGCGCCCATAGCCTGCTTCATGTGGTCAGTAGAGACGCCCGGTTTCACTTCGCGAAAATCTATCCGGGTGAGGGTGCCGCTTTCGTCCACGTGAGACTTCACGACATCGGTGAAGAAGGTCAGGCCACCCACAGCGCCAACGCCCGCCGCATCCTCTACGTTGCCAGGGGATCGGTTGCGAATCCACTGCTGCGAGACAGCAACCTCAGCTGTGGTAACTACACTGCCACGTCGTACGTGATGGGTGCTATAAGTACGCTTGCTTCCGTTACGACGCTTGAGAACGTGAATTCCTGTGGGGTACACACGATTGTGAGCCTGCCCGATACACCTAGCTTGTTCATCTGTGTTTCCAGCGCTCGTGTGGAATGTCAGATCAGCCTCTTCGGGTTTTACTTTGCCGTCCGAGCGTGTATCAAAGATGACGCCCGGTTCAAGCGTTGTCGCACGCATCTCACACAGCTGTACCGAAGCCCGCTGCCACTGCTCGCTACTCTCGCAAGCACTGGTCCCATCGCTGTACCCGATGGTGTTGGGCCGTAACTTTGCATCCTGCATCTCGCTCAGCAGCGCCATGGCCCGCTGCCACTGCTCGCCCTTCTCGCACGCGCTGATCCCAGCATTGTAGCTGACTAGGGCAGACCTGTGGACTCCGTCCACGACATCAGCTCGACGTGGCGAGGGGTCTCTGGGCAAGCGCGGGGGGGTGCGGCTGCAGGGCCGAAAGGCAATCATGATGGCGTCGGGCTCCTCCTCCTCCTCCTCCTCCTCCTCCTCCTTTTCCACCTTCTTCTCCTCTTTCGCTGGATTCTCCATGCCCTCGGTCGGCAATCGTCGATCCTACGACGACTCTCCCCAACAGAGAAACATCGAAGGCCCTCGGAGCGTCCAACATTGTTCTTTTGTGCCTTCGATATGCCGGTCGCCTCTCGTCCGCTCCCCCGCTCCTGGAAGGAATTCTGAAGGCACTGAAGGCTTCGTAGGGGCCGTTTCGGAGCCTCTTCGGCCTTCGTTTGGGCCTCGCGGGGGGGCTCTTAGGGCTCTCTCGGGCCGTCTTGGGTGCCTCTTGGGCCGTCTTCGGGCCATCTGAGGCCCTCCTTGGCGCCTCTTCGGCTGTCGTGGGCCGTCTTGGGCCGCTCCTGGGGCCGTCTTGGGTGCCTCTTGGGCCGTCTTGGGCGCGTCCGGACGCCGTCCTGCGGCGTCTTGGGACCGTCTTGGGGCCCTCCTGGCCCGTCTTGGGGCTCTCTTGGGGTCCTCTTCGGCCGTCTTGGAGCGGTCGGGGGGGCGTCTTGGGCCGTCTTGGAGCGTCGGGAAGGCGACGAGGCGAGGAGGCCGAAAACATTGACAAACACAATAGAAATCGACGATTTCTGTCGCTCGGGGCCCTCTTGGGAGGCCTCTTGGGAGGCCTCTTCGGGCGTCTTGGACGCCTCGAGGGCCTCCTGGGGCGAATCTCGGACGTCTTGGGCGCTCTTGGGCTGTCTTGGGCCGTCTTGGGCCGCTCCTGGGGCCGTCTTGGGTGCCTCTTGGGCCGTCTTGGGCGCCTCCTGGGCCGTCCTGGGGCCGTCCTGCGGCGTCTTGGGACCGTCTGGGGGCCCTCCTGGCCCGTCTTGGGGCTCTCTTGGTATCCTCTTCGGCCGTCTTGGAGCGGTCGGGGGGGCGTCTTGGGCCGTCTTGGAGCGTCGGAAAGCCGACGAGGCGAGGAGGCCAAAAACATTGAAAAACACAATAGAAATCGACGATTTCTGTCGCTCGGGGCCCTCTTGGGAGGCCTCTTGGGAGGCCTCTTCGGGCGTCTTGGACGCCTCGAGGGCCTCCTGGGGCGAATCTCGGGCGTCTTGGGCGCTCTTGGGCTGTCTTGGGCCGTCTTGGGCCGCTCCTGGGGCCGTCTTGGGTGCCTCTTGGGCCGTCTTGGGCGCCTCCTGGGCCGTCCTGGGGCCGTCCTGCGGCGTCTTGGGACCGTCTGGGGGCCCTCCTGGCCCGTCTTGGGGCTCTCTTGGGGTCCTCTTCGGCCGTCTTGGAGCGGTCGGGGGGACTTCTTGGGCCGTCTTGGAGCGTCGGAAAGCCGAAGAGGCGAGGAGGCCGAAAACACCGAAAAACACAGTAGAAATCGACGCTTTCTGTCGCTCGGGGCCCTCTTGGGAGGCCTCTTGGGAGGCCTCTTCGGGCGTCTTGGACGCCTCGAGGGCCGCCTGGGGCGACTCTCGGACGTCTTGGGCGCATCTTTAAGCGTGCCGGGGCTCTCCGGGGCCGTCTTGGGGGATTTTTGGGACCCTCTGGACGTGTCTTGGGGCCTCCCTGGGCGGCCCGGAGCCAGCCCGGGGCGGTTTTGGTTCATTGGAGCCTGCACCATTCTGGCACGCACTGGGCCCTGCAATGTAGTAGAGACTAGGGCTGACCCGTGGACTCCGTCCACGGTGTCTTTCTGGAATGATTCTCGGAGGAACGGGCTCCTGGGGGGGGGGCACCGGACGTGGCCATGTATGACAGCTGGGCCGTTTGAGCCCGCGAGGCTCTGGAAGGCGAAGGCTCCGAGGTGATGGCAAGATGCCTGGAGGAGAGCGTGGATTCGACGGGGCGCCCGAGCGGTGCGAATGGCCAAGATGGCTCAAGATGGCGTTCAGAGCGGTGAGAACGGCGAATGCTGCCCAAGATGTCGGGGGTCCGAGCGGCGCGAATGGCCAAGACGGTCCAATATGGCTCTCAGAGGGCCTCCGAGGGCCTCTATCGCTTACTGTAGGCTCGCTCTGGGCGCCAAAGGGCCCTGCGGACCATTTTTCAACGAAAAAATGCTTGCAGACCCCTTTGGGGGCCACTTGACATGGCATGGTGACGTTTTCGTGTCGTGACGGCTCCGGTGGGTTGCACGCGCGGCTGACAGCTGGGCCGTTTGAGCCGGCGAGGCTCTGGAAGGCGAAGGCTCCCAGGTGATGGCAAGATGCCTGGAGGAGAGCGTGGATTCGTCGGGGCGCCCGAGCGGTGCGAATGGCCAAGATGGCTCAAGATGGCGTTCAGAGCGGTGAGAACGGCGAATGCTGCCCAAGATGTCGGGGGTCCGAGCGGCGCGAATGGCCAAGACGGTCCAATATGGCTCTCGGGTCCATCTTGGGGCGTCCCGGAGCCCTCTGGGGCCGTCTGGGGGGCCTCTTGGGGCCCTCTTGGCGCGTCTTGGGCCCATCTTGGGGCGTCCCGGGGCCCTCTGGGGCCGTCTTGGGCTGTCTTGGGGCGTCTTGGGACTCGTCTGGGGGCCCTCTTGGCCCGTCTGGAGGCCCTCTTGCGGGCCTCGTCGGTGGTCTTGGAGCGGTCTTGGGGACCTCTTGGGCCGTCTTGGAGCGCAGGGACGGCGAAAAGGGGAGAATGCGAGAAACATTGAAAAACACAATGGAAGTCGACGATTTCTCCTGCTCGGGGCCCTGCTGGGAAGCCTCTTGGGAGGCCTCTTGGGGCATTTTGGCCGCCTCTGGGGCCGTCTTGGCCCAATCTTCGGCGTCTTGGGCCCATCTTGGGGCGTCCCGGAGCCCTCTGGGGCCGTCTTGGGGGCCTCTTGGGGCCCTCTTGGCGCGTCTTGGGCCTATCTTGGGGCGTCCCGGGGCCCTCTGGGGGCGTCTTGGGGGGCCGTCTTGGGCTGTCTTGGGGCGTCTTGGGACCGTCTGGGGGTCCTCTTGGCCCGTCTTGAGGCTCTCTTGCGGGCCTCGTCGGTGGTCTTGGAGCGGTCTTGGGGACCTCTTGGGCCGTCTTGGAGCGCAGGGACGGCGAAAAGGGGAGAATGCGAGAACATTGAAAAACACAATGGAAATCGACGATTTCTCCCGCTCGGGGCCCTGCTGGGAAGCCTCTTGGGAGGCCTCTTGGGGCATTTTGGCCGCCTCTGGGGCCGTCTTGGCCCAATCTTCGGCGTCTTGGGCCCATCTTGGGGCGTCCCGGAGCCCTCTGGGGCCGTCTTGGGGGCCTCTTGGGGCCCTCTTGGCGCGTCTTGGGCCTATCTTGGGGCGTCCCGGGGCCATCTAGGGGCATCTTGGGGGGCCGTCTTGGGCTGTCTTGGGGCGTCTTGGGACCGTCTGGGGGTCCTCTTGGCCCGTCTTGAGGCTCTCTTGCGGGCCTCGTCGGTCGTCTTGGAGCGGTCTTGGGGACCTCTTGGGCCGTCTTGGAGCGCAGGGACGGCGAAAAGGGGAGAATGCGAAAAACATCGGAACACAATGGAAATCGACGGTTTCTCCCGCTCGGGGCCCTGCTGGGAAGCCTCTTGGGAGGCCTCTTGGGGCATTTTGGCCGCCTCTGGGGCTGTCTTGGCCCAATCTTCGGCGTCTTGGGCCCATCTTGGGGCGTCCCGGAGCCTTCTGGGGCCGTCTTGGGGGCCTCTTGAGGCCCTCTTGGCGCGTCTTGGGCCCTCTGGGGGCCCTCTTGGCGTGTCTTGGGCCTGCTACACTTTTTGGTCCGAATCGCCCTTCTCGCACGCGCGGGTCCCTGCATTGTAGTATAGATGACGTCGGGCTCCAGCTTTGCCTCCCGCATCTCGCTCAGCAGCGCCAGGGCCCGCTGCCACTGCCCGCCCTTCTCGCACGCGCTGATCCCAGCATTGTAGCTGATAGGGCAGACCTGTGGACTCCGTC